CTTGCCAGGAACCATATCAACAATGGCTGCATCACCAGACTTCAAGAATTTGGGGCCATCTTCCAGCTTCTTACCAGAACGACGATCAATCTTTTCTTTAAGCTCAGCAAACTTGCATGCTATGTGAGCTGTGTGACAATCCAGAACAGGAGCATAGCCAGCACTAATTTGGCCTGGATGGTTCAGGATAATCACCTGAGCAGTGAAGCCAGCTGCTTCCATTGGTGGGTCATTTTTGCTGTCACCAGCAACATTGCCACGTCTAACATCTTTGACAGACACATTCTTTACATTGAAGCCCACATTGTCCCCAGGAAGAGCTTCACTCAAAGCTTCATGGTGCATTTCAACAGACTTGACTTCAGTTGTTACGTTGACTGGCGCAAAGGTAACCACCATGCCAGGTTTGAGAACACCAGTCTCCACTCGGCCCACGGGGACAGTGCCAATGCCCCCAATTTTATAGACATCCTGGAGGGGCAGTTGCAGAGGCTTGTCAGTTGGACGAGTTGGTGGCAGGATACAGTCCAAAGCTTCCAGCAGCGTGGTGCCACTGGCACTGCCGTCTTTGCGGGTGACTTTCCATCCCTTGAACCAAGGCATATTAGCACTTGGCTCCAGCATGTTGTCACCATTCCAACCAGAAATTGGCACAAATGCTACTGTGTCAGGATTATAGCCAATTTTCTTAATGTAGGTGCTGACTTCCTTAACGATTTCCTCGTATCTCTTCTGACTGTATGGTGGCTCGGTGGAATCCATTTTGTTAACACCAACGATTAGCTGTTTCACACCCAGGGTGTAAGCCAGAAGAGCATGCTCACGGGTCTGCCCGTTCTTGGAGATACCAGCTTCAAATTCACCAACACCAGCAGCAACAATCAGGACAGCACAATCAGCCTGAGATGTGCCTGTAATCATGTTTTTGATGAAGTCTCTGTGCCCTGGGGCATCAATGATAGTCACGTAGTATTTGCTGGTCTCAAATTTCCACAGGGAGATGTCAATAGTGATACCACGCTCACGTTCAGCTTTCAGTTTGTCCAAGACCCAGGCGTACTTGAAGGAGCCTTTTCCCATCTCAGCAGCCTCCTTCTCAAACTTTTCGATGGTTCGTTTGTCGATTCCACCACATTTGTAAATCAGGTGGCCGGTTGTGGTGGACTTGCCGGAATCTACGTGTCCAATTACGACGATGTTGATGTGAGTCTTTTCCTTTCCCATTTTTGCTTTGAATTAGCGGTGGCTTTCACAACACCTGCGTTCTGACGGCAAACCCGTTGCGAAAAAGCGTGTTTCTACTTCTGAAGCCCCATCTCAAGCCACCACTAATTAATGACAAAGGCTTAATGACAAGGCGGCACCATTACCGGGCGGTGGTGGCGCACGCCTTTAATCCCAGCACTTGGGAGGCAGAGGCAGGCGGATTTCTGAGTTCAAGAGTTCAAGGCTAGCCTGGTCTACAGAGTGAGTTCCAGGACAGCCCGGGCTACACAGAGAAACCCTGTCTCGAAAAACAAAACAAAACAAAAAAACAAAAACAAACAAACAAACAAACAAAAAAAGACAAGGCGGCACCGTGAGGGAAGATAACTCTATTCTATCAATGTTATAATCTGAATATGTAATGTTCCCCATGACATGACTAGCTGAATGACTGTTGGGAGACCCTGCTGCCAAGCTTGACAGCCCTTACCTGCAAATCAGCCCTTCGTGCAAAATGGTGGACTCACTTTGTTAGGGGGGCTTCCTCTTCTCTGGGGCACCTGAGACCTCACCTGAGGAATGTAATCTGGTACCTGAGACTCCTGAAATGCCTCCCCATGCTAATGAGGCATCTCAGTACCTTAGCCTCTAGCCAATGACTTTTGCCCACCCTAGATATTCTCATCTCCTTCCCCAAAACTCTATAACTTTGGGTTCACACTGAATAAAGTGCACGCATACCAATCCACCCCAACAAACAAAGACACATATACACAAGTTAAAATCACCTTAGAGAGCTGTCATTGAAGATTGTCAGAGAAGGCCTTTGCCTAAAAGAGCTGTAACATTGAGATCCTCGGGAACCCTCTTCCCCCCAGCATTCACCCCCAGCCAGACCGGGATCCTGCAGAACTCCACCCATTCCAGGCTCCGATTTGTCCTTCCAGCCCAGTATGCAGCAGTATCAGAACTCCCTGAGTGGGAGGATGCAAAGGACATGGGACCCCAGCTGGACCCCCAAATGCAGACCACAAATGGTTGGCCCCCAAATGTTGGTAGTATGTTGGAAGGCTGTGGAAACTTTAGAAGGTGGTGCCTACCTAGAGAAAGCTGGTTGTTGGTGGTGGGTTTTAAGGAGCATATTATCACTGGTTGCTTCCTAAATAGTTCTCTGTTTTCTGGTCCAAGATATAAAGAAAGCTTCTCAGACATGCCAGACTTACTGAAATGGGCTGCACTCGCTCTCTGAATCCATGGACAAAACTGAATCTTTCTACAACCTGTGTCCATCAGACATTCTATCACAGCAATGAAAACGAACTAAATCAACATGTCAGTGCACTTTCCCACCCTGTCAGATGCCCAAAGACGCAAACACATGAGACACAGGCACGGTCAAGAGTGACGTCAGTCTCTTTGTTAATGACCATTTCCTTCTCAACTCCTGAAGTGTGCTATGCAGCAAACACATTGACAGCCTATCAGGGTAACCAGATTCTGCTGAAGGTACCTGAGACATTCTTAGATGTTTCCCAGAGAACTCTGAAGCATGTGCCCACAGGCTCCATCTTAGCTAAATGCTTTAGGAGGCTTTCGTCTTAGAGCACCACTTAGTTTCTGAGAGCCTCATTTTGTTCGTCATCAGTTTGGAAGACAGTAAAGCTACAGGAGAAATGTACTTAGAACCATATTTAGGGGAAATGACTGAAATGGTGGGGAAAAAGCAGTGTGACATTTTTCAGGCTCTGGTGACCCATTTGTGCCCATGATCTCATGAACCACCAGTTCACATACTGCCACACAAATGTGCCAACTGGTCTACCCACTGCCGTCTGTTAGATTTAAGGGTGAGACAGAGTTTTCCTTTACGTTTTAAAATACGGTCTGTATTTCAGCACAGCCCTACTAAAATTTTTCCAGTTATAACAATATCCACAACTAGCTTACTTTCATTATTTTTGCTGAATACTTTCTGTGCAGGAAGCATAGGGAGACAGTGCATTTATGTTTCTGGGTAACTGTCTTTGAGGAAATAGCTTCATTCGAGAAAGAAGAACAAGAAGACAATTTCATACTGCAACTTTTCTTATCTTATGAATGGTAATAAGTGACTACTAAAAGTGTCTATTGTGAGGGCTAAAATATGCAGCAGACAGAATTCAGTAGGCACCCAGTGCATGATGGTATCATTTCTCTTTGAGGCTAAAGGAGGGGAAGCAAACAAACATGCTTTTCTTAACCTGGGTAGACACTGGACGACAGAGGAAGGCAACATTCACAACTCCCCTTCCTCAAGGAAATTAGGAGGATGGGTTTCTTCTTGGCACGGCAGAATTAACACTGACCATGTAGCCTTTGCAATTTAATGGCCACGGGATTTCCTGTGGCGTGATGGTCTAAGCCAGCGTATGAGGTAGGATATGTGAGTTACCAAGCAGATGTATCCAAGACAAACAGACAAGCTAAACCATGCAATGGGGGCTCAATGCCTAAAGCAGCTTTGCTTTTCTGAAGCTCTCTTAATGCAAAGAACTCTGGTCATATAAGAATAATTTTACTCCTGAAATACACCCTGGCATTTCATTTGCACATGCCTCTTTCTGTGCTCAGATGCCTCTCCACACTCTACCTCCTCGAACAGTCAATGCCTATGTCTAGGAAGCCTTTCCAATTTCCTTTACAGTGGGTGAAGTGCCACCTTCTGCACTGCAGGGCTGCCCAGGCTGGCTGCTATTATTGGACTCATCCCAATGTCTTCCCACGGTTTCCTAGATGTCTTACTACTGGTCTCTAATTTCCCCACGGATAGATAGTACATCCTTTGAGGGAATGCAGACACAGTATAACACAGTCTAAGTATCAATGGATGGATGAATGCATGGTAAAATAAAGGACCAGGATTACAGCATAACTCTAAAGTATCTTTACCTGATCCATAAAACCCTGTCAGTTACAAAACAAACAACTATGTTTCACAGGCTAGTTAGAGAAATTGAAATCTTTATAGGAAAAGGGAGTAGCTACCTGTTAATCCCTTTCAATTTGACACTTATATGCTCCTTTGAGTGAAATGAATTCTGTTAGTAGATTATTAGTGACAGGGAAGGTCTTGGTTCTTATGAAAAGCGAGGTTGGGGTTGTCCCTTTTTTATAATCCTCATATATTAGAATAACATGCTGCTCTAGATGACTAAACCTCCCTATCACCGCTCATGGTGGCCTGGGACCTGCCACAGTTGTCTTAGATGCTGTGGGTGGCTCAGAAGTGTGGCAAAGTGTGAGAGCAAGTTTTCTCTGTGAAGTGGACAATATCTTAGTCCAACATGGAGCATAATCAGGGTTCACTCTGCCCTGGAAATCTAATGTTTTGAAGAGTCTCCTGTCTAGTGTAGGTATATAATTGAATAGCAAGCCTGTTTTCCATTGAGCTTTAAGCCTCTTGTCAGTGATGCGATGGACAAAAGATGCCTACAAAATCTTTCTTCCTTTCAATGAGAATAGACTCATTCATCAAAGCTCCACAGAAGCACGGAATCTCACATTTACTTTGTAAGATTTTGACCACTTTTTGATAAACACATCGACTGAAAATCAATCTTCCCCGCTTTCCAGGATAATCGTCCCAGGGGCCATGTTTTACCACATAAGTCTCTGAAGCTTTGCCTTTCAACTGTGGGTTTTCTCTTCCCCTGAGCCCACAGGAGAAGTCACTTCTGAGCCTGCATCAATGCATCACTGTCATGCAGAATGGCTGCTACATTAGACAACAGGGAAGGAGGAAGAGGTCTACTGACCTTGTGAAGCTCCACAGGAGTTGGGGATATGATCTCCCTTATTTCTTGCTTCATTTTCCTCAGGGTTACAGACTTTCTGCCCACATCCGAGGGCAGGGTGTTGCTGCGAGTTGTTTGGCTATAGTGTGGCCGTGAACTGCTCCGTTCCTGGAAGCTGGCCTGTCGCCCCAGCTGACTGCGAGCCGTCGGAGCCTCATGATTCAAACTCATAGTGCTCCCGGACATGATTGTTGCCTGCGGCATCGACAATTTTCAGAAACGATTAAACCACGGATAAGGAAAAGGTTGGCTTGCTCAACGTTAAGCACAACTCTCCTGCCCAGTCAAAAGATAGTGTCTTCAGGGCATAGTTAAAGGCTGGAGAATGGACTCACTGGCTGAACTGTGAACGTTTGGGATGTGTTCTGCAATTACATTTATATTGTGCGTCTCAAATCCAATGGAAGTATTTAAGCCCCTGAGTTTATTTAATCAAATACCACCCCTAGCAATGCTGAGGCAAATTGAAAAGCTCCAACATTAGTTTACTGCAAACTGTATTCGAAGCAATAGCTTTGCATAAGAGCTGGGAATCATGAAGCCACTTTCAGTGCCTCTCATAGACAAGGCTGGAGAGCTTCCCAGTGGAGGCCAAGCTGCTGTTGTCTGGAATGCTCACTCTGACTCCAACGACAGAAGCAAGCTATAGGGTGGAATGAGATTACAGATGCAGAGGCAAAGGGAGTCTCCTAACACTGCCTGCCTGGCACTGTCAAGAGCATCTTCTGGTCCAGTGACCTACCCAAGATGTGTGTAGACACATCTTTGAATATTCATCAGCATTTTGTCTTCTACATCTCATGGCACAGACAGTGTTTCTTAGAAACTGTCTTTGTGTAATACTCTCAGGAAGGTTTTAAAAAATTTACCGTTTTATATAAGATTTAACCATTTGCTCAAAACTTATGAGACTTGAATCGGATTTCATCCAGTCAAAGGGAAGTTTATTCCTTTTCAAATATATCCCTTGAATAGTAAGCAATGAGAAAATAACATCCCAGATGACTGAATCTCAGAACTGGAGCGACAAAAGATTTGAAAGCAGTATCATGATGGGAATGGACATTTCTCATGTTAGAGGATGCCAAGATTCTAAAAACAAGACTGTGGCTAGCTCTATGTTCCTTACGTGATATTTATATATATAAATGTTACACTGGTAAGCATGCCTGAGAATATAGTAGCAAAAGCTATAAGCAACAAAGCTTGATCGGTTGAGGTCTTTGAATAGATTCACTAATTTAAGACCGTAAGTCTACGAGGTAGGCACTTCATCCTTCCCACCTCACAGAAAGGACAGGAGCACAGAGAATTTTACTTGCCCGAGATCCTGCATATAGTAATTGAACCAAGGGCACTGTCTGCAACTATTCATTCATCAGAGGAAACATCGCAAAGAGAGTTACATTTTTATCTGTTGCCTCTGTAACAGTTTACACCTCTCAGTTGATGCCCGGTTTATATGTGCACTGCTAAGAGAGTAGTTGCACAGTTGTCAAGAATTGACATAAATATTCAGGGCTCTAGCAACTGTCTGAAGAAACAGAATCAACAAACACATTCTAACTGGATCACTTATGTCACAGCCACTTATGAGGATGGGATTTCTAGCTACAGAGAAGTCCTTGAGGATTGCTGAGTGCTGCATATAGAATATCACTTATTACTCCATAACCTCATTAGGTAGGTGTTATGGGTCTTCTCCTTCACAATGGGCAAGGGGAGAAGAGGCTCATGGGTAGGTTCTGACACTTGGCAAGAGTATGGTATGGGTACCCTAGAAATCTGGTTGCAGTCATATTCCTTGACCAACAGGCTCTGTGGCTTCTCCTGTCACCCCAAAACTTTCCCTTTTAAATAAAAAATGTCTTTAATATTTAAGCAATGGTAGGCATCTATAGTATGGCGTATTTCTGATAGATACCTTTTTCAGGTTGACTGACACCTCCCTGACAGTCAGTTGTGTTGGTGTCATGGACACTTTCCATTTGATGGTACTTACATATATCACTTCTATGTTTAACGGTATTATGTTTAACGGTATTATGTTTACATTTATCGCTTTTATGTTTCTATGGTAACTGACAGCACCCAGTGATTTTTTTCCTGCAATAATGACCATCCATACATTATTCTTACCTCCTTAGAATACCTATCTGCTTTATTTATATCTAGTTTCTCCTTCTCATTTTTTTTGTGAGATCCACAGGAAGCATGTGGGAAGTAAAAGAATCACTTGGTCTGAGAGCTGCTACTCTGGCTGAGCCGCCAGAAGAGACACTGAAAACGGGGTTTCCCCGGGGCCAGTGGAGGGGAGGAGATGCAAGAACAGCTCCTCGTCCAAGTTTTCAAACTGTGGCTGGATTGCTCACTTAAACGGAAATTCAACCGAATGAATAGCATCTAAAAAGGATTATAAAAGTTTAAGTACAAATATAAATATAATCCAGACATTTGGTTAAACTCTCATCTGTTAAAAAAAAAAAGCTAAAGTAGTATTAATTAAGAAATGCTAAACCCAGTACTTAATTTTTATTACATTTACTCAACATAAGGTTCTATATTTTTTTAAATTTTATTTGCATTGGTGTTCTGCCTCCATGTATGTCTGTGAGAGGGTGTTGGATCCCCTGGAACTGGAATTACAGACAGTTGTGAAATACCATGTGGGTGCTGGGATTTGAACATGGGTCCTTTGGAAGGACAGTCAGTTCTCTTAACCACTGAGCCATCTCTTCAGCCCCTTCAGGTTCTCTATTAATCATTATGTTAAGTATATGTTAAGTATCACTATAATTACTATTTTTTAAGCATTAATTTTTTTTTGAGACAGGGTTTCTTTATGTAGTCCTGGCTACCCTGCAACTCACTCTGTAGACTAGGCTGGCCTCAAACACAGAGGTCCTCCTACCTCTGCCTCCCAAGTGCTGAGATTAGAGGTGCTCACCACCACTGTCCAGCAATTCCTATGTTTTATGTAAGTAACCACTGGTAAGAGGGGCTAAAAACTGCTTGAAGTCTTAGTTTGAGCTTTTAGCCTTGGAGAAGACTATACAATTTTTTGGAATTGGTAAAGTTGCATCTAATTATTGCTTGCAATAATGAAAATGATTAGTAAATTCTCCTTTCAGTCACAATCATTTTGGCTGATCCATATTTATAAACGTTTGCTTTAACGTTTGGTGTTGAGGGTAAATTTCATCTGCAGGATTCTAGCTTCGACAAAAACATAACAGCTTTCCTAATCAAGAGAACAGAATTCATTTAGATGATCAAAGTTTTTTTGTGTGTGTGACACTTCCGTAAATGTGACTCTAATCTATGAATCCATTGAACATCCCTCCTAGCTGAGAATTTAACTTCTCTTTGGCCCAACCCCTTTCCTTTCTGTGTTTGTAATTTTCAGGGACACACCACATAAAGCCAGACAGAGGCGTCTGTAAGATGACGGAACACACTTCCAGCCCTTGTTTTTTGTGAGATAACTCAGTTTCCAGGCAACGGCCCAGGATCATCCTGTTTCTTTTACAGCACCTTCAACGTACCCAATGTCAAAGAAGCTATAAGAGTGAGTTCCACAAGAGAGATACATCAAATGGGAAAGACATGGGAGGCGAAGTCAGTTAGGAGAGGGCAGTGCTCATGAATTATGAATTGTGCGCCTCATTCAGCCTGAACCTTGACATTCTACGTACAGGGGGTGGTAAGAGTTTAAATAAACAGGCTGGCCCTTAAGAATTGTGCTCTTTTTGAAAATTGTATTAAAAAGAGAGAGAAATCAATGGCTCACATCTTAATTTAAATTTTATAAGTCTATCCATGCCCAGGCCCTTTAACTGTGCTCTGAAGCCAAAAATTCATGCCAGGTACTACTACGGTGTCTATAAATTCAGACTACTGTTTTCCTTTTAGAATATTTTCTTTGCAGATTCACAAACATTAGAGTCACGTAAGATATCCACACATGCAACTGAGAAGCAAAGTAACATAAGGATGAGTAACCGTTTTAGAATCGCAAGGTTCCACCCGGCTGGGCCATTCGCATTCCTTAGAGTGACTCGGGGACCTCATATGACATCCAAACAAAAGTGAGACTTTCACCACTTTACAGTTTACAGCTTGGAAACGTGGAGAGAACATAAAAGGAAACATTCCAGGCCTTCCCAGACTAAGTCTGAATACTGCCAGCAGATTCATGGCTTTGTTTAAGGAATTGCCCAGAGTTCTGCTGTTCTTCCTCAGATTCAGGTGACGTTAATATGGAATTGAGATTTCCAATGAACAGCGAGAAGCAGGGAGTGATATTTTGCCTGCTTATCAAGTAGACTGGCCTTTTAAAACAGCCTCGTGGTTATCAACTTGAGGGCAAAACAAAACATAAGTTGTATTTCCTCTTATGTTCCTCGTAACGATTAAATTAATTTCTATACCAGGTACAAATGAAAACATGCCAAAGAAACCTTTCTAAAGCAGCTAAGAGAATGAAATGCACCACTGTTGGAGGACTGGGCTAGCTCCTTAGCGATTTGGTGGGAAACAGGTACAGTCAGGGTTAGCAGGGGAGCAATGGCAGAAGCCACAAGTCAGTAAGAACTGCATTGTATAAAATCAAACTGCTGTCCGGAAGGCAAGGGCGGGGGAGGCGGCTTCACAAGCAAAAGTAGAAACAGAAAAGGTAGCTACCAAGAGGGTCATGTTTCTCAATGACACACGCCTGTCAGCTTTCTCCTGTGGAAAGGGGTTAAAGCTTTTAAATGAACTGCTGTGATCAAAGCAAATGTAAAAGGACCAAAACAAAGGAATGTCGGGACAGTCAAGATAAACAGGGGGACCAAGGCTACCTCAAGCTCTCTCAGGATTCCCGACTGGCCGCAGGTCTCCAGGTCCTCCAATGCTTGAGACCAGAAGTTTTCTTCTTGTTCAGCGTCTGCACTGTCAGAAGCCCCTGCGAAGCTGCCAGCAAGAAACACAGTCTGGGTTAAGGAAGACAGACCGATAGGAATGTATGTACGCATGCGCGTGCGCAGCCACAGCCACAGCCACAGACGGATCGACACACACACGCTGTATGGTTCTCTTGTCCAGAGGCAGACACTTGCAATCTCAACACTTAAGAGTTTTTGTCAAATGGAATTGTTTCAGGTCAGCCTGGGCTCTGTATGGAGACAGAGAAGACATGGGTCTTAGAAGCTGACTTCCCCGAGTGCTACTCTGGGGAACTGCCTTGTGCTACTGGGCTATCCTCAGGGCAGCAAGGATTTTGGAAACCTTTTATGTGGCTGACATGGACAGTCAAAGTGGATTACTTCACAAACTCAATGCTAACAAGAGCAGCCGCTGGGTGTAGAGAGCCATGACTCCACCCTCTGAGACCCTGAAGTCACCCTGGGCGGGGCAACAGTGGGGGTGCAACCGTACCCACTGGCTGTGGACCGATCCCAGTCTTCATTACTCAGGCCCACATCTGGGTATGTCTGGCTTCGAGGCTTGGGGACCGGAGACAGGCTGGCTCTTTGCTTCGGACTCCTCCAATCATAGGTGTTGTAATTGTATCCTGAAGTCTGAAAAGTCGAGCCTGAAACAGAAGCAAGGAGTTAGCGCTGGGCCTGAGGATTACCTCATCTGTTGAGATATGACATCAGTGGCCAGCACAAGGTCAGGTGGCAGAGTGACAGCGGAAACAATAAGTAAGCGCACAGTGGGACCTTTCCTGCAACGCTGCTCTGAGAGCTTTCTTCACAGCCAGCTTTGGTCCTAATTATTTGCAATGAAAAGATAACCACTAAAGGCTTTGAAAAGCGGTTTCCAGTACCTAAGCCTTCCCCGGGGCTTCGGTTCACAGTCGGTACCATATACACACCTCCATCTTCCCCAGACTGCCTCAGCTGACTCCAGTCAGAGCTCTGGAGCTACCAGTTCTCACTTTTCACTTCTCCTTTCACAACTATTCCACCATGTTTTAATGAGAAGACCCATTTCTCATCCAATTCGAACCCTTGTGGGTGGTTGGCCCAGAGGACAAGAGTCCCCAGCCACCAAATCCAGGGGTAAGTTGGGAGAGCCTAGCTCCTAGGAGAAGGGCACTTGGAGACTGGGCCATCGTTGATCAAGGCAGACTCAGAGCAAGGCATTTACCACTCTGTGTTTCCTCCCCACCTCTCTCTCCTCTCCCTCTCTCTCCCTCTCCCTCTCTCCCTCTCTCCCTCTTTCCCGCGCTCCCTCTCCCTTTCCTCCCTCTCCCCCC